TCAGCCCCAGCAATGCATTGCTCCGGTCAGGTTTGCCTCCTTTGGCCTCCTCCCCCAGCATTTAAGTTTTATCAGCTTATTAACATAAGTCTCATTTTCTCCCTGAGAGACCAGCAGTCACGTGAGAGCTTTGGTACCAGATGTAGACAAGGAGGCTGGAATTAGATCCAAGAGCCACGGCTGACAGTCATCATCGTGTGTGAGGATTATTTTAGGAGGAGACACAGCCAAATATTTATCAGCTAATAATTCCTGGGGCTGGTAGGCTCCCCACATCAGAAGGAGAGCTGTCATCTTGGAGATGCAGTGCTGATGGCTGCGCTTCTAGGCTCTGACCCCAGGGCAGACGGCAGCCAGCACCGCCCAGCTCAGGACCACGCGGCCACTGCAGGGAAGTGCCCACGTTGGTCAGCCTGTGCACAAGTCAAATGCATGAAACCCAGCACCTCACATGCATGAGGCAGGAGAGTGAGGGAGGGGAATATGAGAGAAGAAATTATTCGGGACAAATCAGCTCAGAGGAGACTGAATACAGATGATTATGGGGTCCCCCAAAGCCATTCACCGAGGGACCAGGCCTAGAAAGTTCTTGGTAGAATGGAAAAGGGATACAAAATTGGGCCCCAGGAAGCACCAACTGGGGAGGGGGTGAGCCCTGCGAGCATGTGCTTACCTGTCTGTTCCCAGCTAAAGCAGTGTGGTAGACATCATATAAGATAGAAAGATTTGCTCTACATCCCAATGGGTGAGCAGAACGGGGCCTTGGGTGGAAGGCAGAATCTGTAAGTCTGTGGCTAATAGGTGTTAAGAGATCTTTATCTTCTCTCCCTTTTCCCTCATCGGCCCCTCTTCCCACCAGACCCTCAGACTCCCCTTCCCCCTACAGATCCCTAGTTTTCACCTTGATGGGTGAATGAGCTGGTGACATTAGCTGGCTGGCAAGTCCACCAAAGCCAGGAATTCCTCCATCCCTTCCTCACAGAGGGAGCTGGAGACAGGAAGCAAAGGAATCCACGTGTCTTGGGCAGCCCTCCCTGCACCACCCGGAAATGCTGGCGCCTCCCCAAAGGGCTGCCTTTCCAAGAGCCAAGGAAATCCCAAAAGCTGTGGCTTCAGGCCGCAAACAAGGCAGGAGGTCTGGCTCTCCTCCCTCTGCCACCCGGCTGAAATGCCCACCCGTGGCCTTGGAGCGCCCCAAGCCAAGAAGTGACCCTGTGCTTCCAACAGAGCCCTCCCTCTCCCACCCCCTCCCAGCAGAAAGGCCCCCACTGACAAGGGGCCCTTTCCTCTGACCCCCCGGAGGCAGTCAGGCCGTGCAAGGACGCGCACCCCACCAAAGGAGGCTCAGGATCCGAGCCAGTCTGGTGCAGACAATCTTGGGAGACAGATGGCCAGGCGGATGGGCCGGCAGAGAGAAGCTCCTGCTCCTTGTCAAGATGACACTCAAAAGTACATCCCCGCCATCACAGGTTGTCAGTGGGGTGTCAGCGCGAGATGCCGTGTGTGTTTTTGGACACTCTGTGAGTTTGGAAGGCTGAGCTTTTTCCCACTTCCATAGCAACGACAAAATTCCAGCCCCAGACGCAAGTCTCTGAGTTAGTGTCAGACAACGGGGGGGAGTGGCAGGCAGAGAGGGGTGTCGCTCCTAGCAGAGAGCAGTGCTGGAGTGGCAAGGGTGGGCAGGAGGCAGGTTTCTGGATGTCTGCGGGGAGACCGTGTGTGGGCACAAAGTGACAGAAGGCAGCAGCTAATGGCTGAGCTAACGGGAAATGCAATCTGTCGGCTTGAGCAATCTGGGAGTAGGGCTTTCCTGAGCACTGGCCCATTCCAAGACCCCTGAGGGTCCTCTGGGTGTTCATAAGAAAATCCCTATTGGTTTCAACTTTGTGAAGAGCAACGGAGTGATGGACTTGAAGTTCTTATGGCTACCGGAATGGAATTAAAAATAAAGGGGAAAATATGAGATCCTCCAAGGACAGTAAGAAGACATAGATCACAAAATATATGTGCCCCTTTTTGATGGAGGAAGCTCAATCTATCCAGACTCTGAAAATAGGCTCATCTGTACGTGATTGGCTGAGGCTTTGTGCCTCCAGAGAAAAAGGGTAGGAGGCACTGGCCCCTTCTCCTGTCTTGCTTTCTCTGGTCAATCACTAAGTCGCTGAATCTTTCCATTCTAGATCAGGGAGCCTGTTCCTAGGCTGAGCTCTGCCGACAACTAGGTATGGATCTGAAGTAAGTCACTCTCTCCCCTCCTGGGTTTCAGTTTCCTCTGTAAAATGAAGAGCCCCGAGATGAGGAAGGGATCACTTGCTACATGAACTTGACCATGGGGGTGATGGCAAGGATCCTCTTTGACAACAAAAGATCAGCCTGCCCATAATTCTTGTGGTAGGCTGAGATATCACCCCAAAAGATGTTCATGACCCAGGGCGCAGAAACTATGGATACATTAACTTATGTGACAGTAGGGACTTTGAAGATATGGTTAAGTTAAGGATCTTCAGATGGGGAGATTATCCTGAATTATCTGGGTGGACCCAGTGTAATCACAAGGATGCTTGAAAGTGAAAGGAGGAGGCAGAAGGGCCAGAGTCAGAGATGCGGTGGTTGAGGCTGAGTCTGGTGTAATGCCAATGCAGGCACTATGGGTCCTGAATGCAGGCAGCCCCCAGAAACTAGGAAAAGCAACTCCCTGGAGTTTTGGAAGCAATGCAGCCCCAACAACACCTAGACTTGAACTCCATGAAATGCATTTTGAATGTCTAACCTCCAGAACTGTGAGATGATAAATTAGTGTTGTGTTAAACCATTAAGTGTACAATTGTTATAGCAGCAGCAGAAACTAATACGGTCCTCTGCAACATAATCCCACCTGAAAACCTTGCACTCTTGGCCTGTCGTAAGTGTTGCGGGAGGAGGAAGAGGGGCAAAGTCAGGTGGGGTTCTTTATGTCCCTCCAGAGCTCTGAGCAATGGGTTTGGCACAGAGGAGTCATTCAATCAGGACTTGTTGCCTTGATTCGATTCGACAGTGAGGGAAGAAAATGGTTTGGTGGCCTGGCACCACCAAACCTTTTGAGCAAATGTCAGAGTGAATCCAGGATGAGAGGTCAGCTGGTGGGGGACTCCCACTTGCTTAATGTGTTCATTGTGGAGCAATGGGAGGCTATTCTCCACCTTGGTGTTCATGTGCCATTAGCATCCAGAAAACAAAGTTATAAACTTGTGTGCATGAAAGAACACTACCAAGAAAGTGAAAAGATAACCTAAATAGTGGGAGAAATATTTACAAATCATATCTCTAATAAAGGTTTGATAACCAGAATATATAAGAGCTCCTACAATTCAACAAGAATGTCAGCCCAATTAAAAAATGGGCAAAAGACCTGAATAGATGTTTCTCTAAAGAAGATATTAAGAGAGCCAATAAGCACCTGAAAAGATGCTGACCATCATTAGTCATTGGAAAAATGAAAATCAAAACTTGGACAAGATACCATTACACATCCACTAGGATGGCTAATCTTTAAAATGGAATATAACAAGTGTTGATGAAAATGTGGAGAAACTGAAACCCTCCACATTGCTGGTGGGAATGTAAAATGATGCAGGTGATGTCGAAAACAGGGTGGTGAGTTCTCAAAACATTAACCGTACAATTACCGTATGACCCAGGAATTCCCCATTTAGGTATACATCCAAAAGAATTGAAAACAAGGATTCACACAGACACCTGTATGCCAGTGTTCATTGCAGCACTATTCACAATAGCCAAACAATGGAAGCATCTTTTGTGTCTATCAACAAATAAATGGATAAACAAAATGTAGTCTATATAGACCATGGAACATTATGCAGTCATAAAAATGAAATGTGATCCATGCTACCACATGGATGAATCTTGAAGACATTATAGTAAGTGAAAGAAACCAGACAGAAAAGGACAAATATTGTCTGAATTCACTTCTATGAAATATGTAGAATAGGCAAACTTATAGAGCCAGAAAGTACATATGGCTTACTAGAAGCTGAGAGGAGGGGGGAACAAGTAGTTACTGCTTCGTGGGTACAGAATTTCTCTTTGGGGTGATGAAAAAGTTTCAGAGGGGTGCCTGGATGGCTCAGTAGGTTAAGTGTCCAACTCTCAATTTTGGCTCAGGTCATGATCTCAGGGTTGTAAGATTAAGCATTAGGTTCCATGCTCAGCAGGAATTCTGCTTGAGATTCTTTCTCTCCCTCTCTCTCTGCACCTCCCCACTTCTAAATAAATAAATAAATAAATAAATAAATAAATAAATAAATAAAATTCCAAAAATCTGTAAAAAAAAATACAGATATGGAAATAGCTGGTGGAGATTATTGTACAATTATTGCAGATATAATTAATAGCACTGAATTTTCAAAATGGTTAAAAGGCAGGTTTTATGATATATGTATCATATATTATATATCTCATAAAACCTGCCATTTGAATTATAAATAATATTTAAAATTAATAAGGAAAAATGCATTGGTTTTAGGAGCAGAAATAAAGGAAGTGTGGGACTAGAAGAGCCTAAGATGGTCCAAGACAGTGGGAGCATGGAAGGCAATGGGTGGCTCAGTCATGCTGAAATCCAATTGTAAGGGAGCCTGAGAGCCGTGCTGGAGAGTCTGGACTGTTGGGGAATGCAGTGTATTTCACTGTTGTTATTCTTGTTGTTGTTGCTTTTATTTGAGTGTGAAGAATGGATTGACATGAAGAGAAACCACATGCATAGAGCTCATTGGCATGACTGTCGCAAGACTACAGACAAGAAGCCACAAGGCCGAGCCGCCCGGAGTGACAAAAGCGAGCAGGAGGCGGAAGGAGGGAAGAAGCTTCCTGAAGAAAATAATAGTCCACAAAACCACTGGAAGTGAGCTACAGCCATCTTACTATTCAAAGGTTGTTTTTTTAACCCCCATCGTCATCAGACATTTACAGTTATCAAGGAAAGCAAAGATTACAGTTCTTACCAGTGAGTATCTGGATGAAGATACCTGAAGGAGATGAGACATCCTGCGTGCCAGGGGAGTGTCATGTGTCCATCTCGTTTCCTTTCAGAAAAAGACACCTGACATCCACCACCAGCCAAATGAGCAGCAGGCAGTGACTCTTACCCCCAACCCCCAGAAAACAGGGTAGCCAGGAACACAGAGAGTAAAGATAGTGCAAAGATTAAACCTTAGCTGCAAACCTAGGGTGTAACTTCTATCACTGGTTTTAGCATTTGGTATCACATGTTCTGTCAATATTTACCCATCAGTATCATTTACCGTTTTTTAGAAGAGACTGTTGAAAGGTTTTTTTTTGAATAGCTAGTCTTTTTATTATAGTTATATTTTGTTTATATATAATATATATAATTATATTATAGTTTCAATTAAATGGCACCTTTGAAAAAAAAAAAAGAAGCCACAAGGCCGGTGTAGGGCAGAGGCTGTGAGACAGCAGGGGAGAAGGAGAGAGTTGGAGAATAGAAGAGGAGGGTGAGGAAAAGCAAGAAGTTGACGATGGCTCTCCAAGAATCTGTCTGCTGCCTTTTCCCTGCCTGAGTAGATCTGTGGCTCAGCAAAATGGGGGTGGGGGTGGGGAGATGGGGGTGGGGGTGGGGAGATGGGGTGGGGGGGCTGTTGGAACAATGTAAACGGTCCATAACTCTTGACACATCACCCTTGAGTCACGTAATTTAGGTTTTAATTTTTTTTTTTTAAACTCTGCATACAGTTTGATCAGTTTGGGGTTGGTACAGTCCTCCCGTTTTCTGACTCACTTTATTTTTGGGTTTCTAGCTCCTTTGGGGGACTCCATCCCATGTTGTCACTTGCCTGGTGCAGGGCATTCTTACCAGTTCTGCTGTGGCTCCAAGCACCTCTCCTTTTCCATAGGCCTTCTGTTCCAAGGCTCACAGACCTCCCATTTCTGCCTTCCTAAAGAGAAGCGGTGAGCCCCACCAGGTCAAGGAAAAGTATGTAGATGGTTGTAAATTAATTTCCACGGTTTTATCATTACTAATCTTGTCTGGGTTCATGATTAGAGGCTAATGACATGTTAATTAGTCACTGTAATTAACAAGTGCCAGAGAGCTTCCGGGGGCTCTGTGGCATAGAGACAAGGGGTTGCCTTGGATAGCGGGGTCATTCAAGCCCAGCCTGCTTCCTATTAAAATCTACCTTGATTCAGCCCATTATCCAACCCAAGACATACTCTATGTGTCTTATAGGTTCACCCTCTTTTTAGCATAAACAAGAGCTTCCTTGCATTTATTATGTATAAATGGATTATATTATATACAATAGAGATATCAAATGATATGACAGTCAATGAATAAAATAGTGGAATACGAAATAATGCAGAGGGCAGAACGGCAGGGAGTCCAGAGAAGCAGGAAGAATGAATCCACATCTCAGCCCTGCCAAGACCTGCTGTGTGACCTGTGAGGCAAGTCACCTCACCTGCCAGGTCCCTGTTTGCTGGCCCCAGAGGTGGGAGAGAGTGTTCTTCCATGATGCATGCTATTTGTTGTCATTTGGGCCATCATTATCCCACGGACCTGGGAGTGAACATCCTTGTTACCTAGTACAGCCCCAGTTTAGGGCAGTTTTATACCTTATAATGAGGCTAATTCACAAAATATACAAGTAGATGTGACATCATTTTTATTCCCCTGCAAGACTTTTTCTTACCAATTCATATCTAAGACACTAAACAAAAGTTGTCAAATTTTGTGTCCTGTTTTGTTTGTTTAGGGAAATAAATCGGCAGACCATTATATTTGGATCCCCCTTGAGGCCAGGAGAAGGGCCTAGGCAAACTCCAGGCCTGGTGATCTGATTAGCCCCAGATGCACCCCCTTCATGTAGATGCTGCTTCTGCAGTGAAACCCCCCAGGTGAGTCCAGGGATCAACTTTCCTACAACACCAAATCAAATGCAGAAGAACCTAGAAAAATCTAGACAGACTGGCAGTCCAATTATTCATATAAGGTTAAACTTGGCTCTGCTTCTGAGTTATCTGTCCCTTTGGGCTTTTTTAGTCACATTCTAATTATACAAGCAGGCAGGGCCCAACTCTTAATGGTGGCCAGGGGAGGAAGCATCCTTCTTACTCACTGAGAGAGTTCCCCAACCCATGCTGGTTATGGCGCCTCCCTCATGGCCCTCATCCATGGCCATGCTGTCTCTAGATCGCTGCCCTGAAGAGGAGAATGCCCACTGATGATCATTATGTCCAGAGCTTCTTGGCCAGCGGGTGATACCTTCTTCACTGGGGTGAAGCTAATCCTTTACTTTGGGGTCTTTTCCTAATTCGCGCATCGTGGGATGCCCATGCCAGGAGCATTGGTGCTGGGTCTCCATGTGTGTCACCAAGCCCACAACCCTGTCTGTCCTCTTTGCCTTCATCCATCACACAGCTTGATGGTAATTGCTTGGGAAGTGACACTGCCTTTCCCTCCTCTACAGTGAATCTACCAAGTGCTGAGAGTCAGGCATGTTTGACTCTAGTAGTGAGAATCTAGTAGTGATGAATCACAGGCATCCAGCGCACTTACGGAGACAGTGGTGAACAGCTCACCCAGTCAAGCCAATTCTCACCTTCGTTTAGTCCACTCTGGCCACTTGGCCAATCAGATCCCCTCCACCAGTCCCCAGGTCCTCAAATACAGAAGGCCTTTCCCGGCTTAATCTTTAGGTTCCAACCTCAGTATCAGGCTAGTGCAGCGGAATTCTATTCTAAGCTCTAAATTGCTGCCGATTTTCCTGACCCAGGGATTTCTTTCCGCATGCCTTTTCCTGGGATTATAAACCAACTCAACTTTTTCATTTGTTATATCTTCTTATTCTATCCTTCCAAACAGGAACGTAACAAAGTCTCTTTGTATCTTGTGACATTTTTGCCTTGAATTCAAATATATCAGATACCAAAGTTGCTATCTCCATTTCGTTTTGTTTATATTTGCCCAGAACATCTTTTTCCATCTATCCTTTTATTTTTATCCCTCTTGTATCATTTAAGTGTGTCAACATACTATTGATCTTTCATAATCCAATCTGAGAATGTGTCTTTTTTAAAAAACTGTGGCAAAATACACATAACATGAAATTTACCATCTTAACCATTTTTTAAAAGATTTATTTATTTATTTGTTTATTTATTTATTTATTTATTTTAGAGAGAGAGAATGGGGGGAGGGGCAGAGAGAGAAGGAGAGGGAAAGAATCTCAAGCAGACTCCATGCCGATCATGGAGCCCAACATGGGGTTCAATCCTCTGACCCTGAGACCATGACCTGAGCCAAAACTGAGAGTCAGATGCCTAACCGACTGAGCCACCCAGGCACTCTCTCTCTTAACCATTTTTAAGTATACAGTTCAGTGGCATTAAGTACAATCACATTTTTGTGCAACCATCATAACTATCCAACCTCAAAATTTTCTATCATCATAAACTGAATCTTCACACATATTAAACAATAACTCTCTGTTCCCCCTTATCCCAACCCCTAGGAACTGCTTTCTGGCTCTATGAATTTGCCTATCCTAGGTACCTCAAATAAGTAGAATCATACCATAGTTGTCCTTTTGTGTCTGGCTTACCCCACTTAGCATAATGTCTATAACCCACATTACAGCATGGGTCAGAATTGCTTTGCCTTTTAAGGCTGAATAATGTTCCATTATATGTATAGAGCACATTCTGTGTATCTATTCATCTACCACAGACACTTGGGTTGCTTCCACCTTTCAACTATTGTGGTTCATGCTGCTGCACACATGAGTGTACAAATATCTCTTCGAGTTTCTGCTCTCAGTTTTTTTGGATATATACTCAGAAGTGGAGTTGCTGAATCATAGTGGAATTCAATTTTTTTTAAAGATTTTATTTATCCATTTGACAGAGAGAGACACAGAGAGAGGTGGAACACAAGCAGGGGGAGTAGGAGAGGGAGAAACAGGCTTCCCGCGAGCAAGGAGCCCAATGCGGACTCGATCCAGGATCCTGGGATCATGACCTGAGCTGAAGGCAGACGCTTAATGACTGAGCCACCCAGGTGCCCCGGAATTCAATTTTTAATTGTTTGAGGAATTGCCCTTTGTTTTCCACAGCAGCTGTGCCATTTTACAAGTCCACCAACAGTGCTTGAGGGCTCCCGTTTCTCCACATCCTCTCCAACAACTGTCACTTTGTATTTTTGTAATAGTAGCCATCCTCGTAAGTGTGAGAAGGTAAAGAATTCATTTTTTAATTTGACTCATTTAGATTTATTATAAGCAGTGTTAAATAATAATTTTTCTTCTAATTGGTTCTAACTTTTTTTCTCTATAATGTTTTATTCTTTTTCTCCCTCCTTTCCAGCTTTCCATGGGGCAGTTCAAGTTATTTCTGGGACTTTTATTAAATAGGCACTGATAAGGGTGCCTGAGTGGCTCAGTCAATTGAGCATCCAACTCTTGGTTTTGGCTCAAGTCATGATCTCAGAGTTGTGATATTGAGCCCCACGGCAGGCTCTGCACCCAGCAGGGAGTCTGTTGGAGATTCTCCCTCTCTCTCTGCCCCTCACTTGTTCTTTCTCTAAAATAAATAAATAAATCTTTAAAAATAAACAAATAAGCACTGATATTTCTAATTCTTTTCTCCATATCTCTTAGAATTTGGGGGAGAATTCGTCAATTTTATACTATTATTGTTATTTTATCCTATATATTCTGTTCTTTATTTCAATAATATATTTGTCATGCCTAATATTTTCACTTGATTATGATTTTTTTTGCTGCATTCTGCTAATGTTTTCTTTATCTTCCTGGGTATTTATTTCACTTATTCTTTGTTAATCTGTTCTAGTCATTCTACTTCTATTAGTATGTATAATTCAGTTTTCTTTCTTTTTTATTGATGTGTATGTGTGTCTCTCGGGTGTTTCATTAATTTTAACCTGTAAGCTCACTTTCTTACTTCAGGGGATTTCAGCTACTTTGCCTGGTAATGCATATTGGTGAAGGGCCATGGGTCAAGGCGTAATTTGTTTTCACTCAGCGAAGTTTAAAGGAAGAAATGAACCCAACGTACCACTAATGACTCCCCTTGGCTGCCGCTTCCCCTGCAGAGAAGTGAAGGT